GATACCACTGGCCTGGTCTGTATCGCGACGTAGCGAAGTATGTGCACCAGTGCCTGTTGTGCCAACGCTATAAAGCCCAGCAACAGCTGACGGCAGGCAAGATGCACTTCAAACCAGCGGAGGCAGCGTGGGACGTCGTCTGCGCCGATTTTGTGGGGCCGCTGCCGCGGTCCAAGCGGGGCAACGCGTATCTACTGGTCCTGGTCGATAAGTTCAGTAAATGGGCAGAACTGGTCCCCATCCGCAAGGCGACGGCAGCGGCAGTGAAGCTGGCCTTGCGAGAGCGGATTCTGGCACGGTTTGGCACACCAAGAAAGCTCATTACAGACAACGGAGCCCAGTTTACGAGCCGCGCGCTGAAGCAGTTCCTCGCCGAGGCAGGCATCCAGCAACAACTGACGGCACCATACACACCTCAGGAGAATCCCACTGAGCGGACCAATAGAACGGTCAAAACATTGATTGCCCAGCTGGCGGACGGGCAGCACAACACGTGGGACGAACAACTGCCGGAAGCACAATTGGCCATTAATACAGCAATTTCAGACGCAACGGGCTACTCACCGGCTTTCATCCTATTTGGAAGAGAACCACGGCATCCACACACACTGTACGGCAGGGATCCTGATGCCCCTGAGGCAGCACCAGGTAGCCCAGAAACACACGCGACGCTGCTACAGTTTGTTGCCCGCATAGCAAGAAGAAACCAAGGGGTGGCCAGCGAGGATCAGGCACGCCAGTACAATCTGCGGAGACGCGAGTGGCGACCCAAACTGGGCGACGAGGTGCTCGTGCGACAACATCACCTGTCCAACGCAGCCGAGCAGTTTGCGGCCAAGCTGGCGCCTCGCTTCGATGGACCATTCACAGTGCGGCCATTCATATCCCCAGTTATAGTGCGTGTGCGACCAGTAGCGGGCGGCAGAGGTAGAACGGCACACGTGCGGGATCTGAAAGCGGTGAATGCAGAAGACAGCGAAGCCGACAGAGGCAGCGTTAGTATGGTCACCGGGACCACGCCACCGACAGCTTCACAGCAGCCACAACACCAATCTCCGCAGACGCAGCGGCAGTCCGGGCAACTAGATCGGCCATGTCAACGAACACGACGAAGGCAGCCGCGGTCGCAACAGCCGCACGACAGCCAAGACAGCAGTTACAGCAGCCAGGGCCCTATTGGTCACACAGACAGCAACAACAGCAATGCAACTGGCTTCCACTTAAGCGGGAGCGGCAAAGTGGCCGTTCTGGCCGAGGAGGACACCCATGTGAGCATAAGACATAATTAGACAAAACTTTCTGTTACGTTTCAGGCCTGAAATAGCCCAGGACCGGAAATCAAGCATAATATAAACATGTGGGCGGTGATGTCGAGTTACCAGAGCGACAGGTGGCCGTCGATAACGAGTTATCGTGGAGATGCGATAAGTGGCAGCACCGACCACTATCGCTGCGAGTGGTAACACCGACGATAGACCGTCGGGCATGGGTAGCACTGGCAAACCGCGAGAGGTGGCAGCGCTAATCAAACAGCTGGCACAACAGCATTGCACGAGGGGACCGGCGTGTCGAGCGACAAAATTGGAGAAACAACTAAGGTTAAAAAGGGAAAAAAAAAACGAAACATGGACGAGACAAGGGACTATAAGGACCTGGAAAAGTGGTGTAGGCTGCAGGAACAGATGGCATTCGACCGGGACCCCCGGAACTGCCAGTTTCGGGCGCCCGCAAGCTCACCAACGCCGGCAGACAACCGACGTCGCCGCCGTGGGCACCGGGGGGCCGTCGAGTGAGAGAGCGATGCCAGCGGATGCAGCAGGCACAACTAGATGAACAGCAGCGAGTGCAACGCCAACGGGCACAACAGGCGCGGCTGGAGGAGCAGCAGCGCGTTGAGAGGCTGCGGCGGCGGGAACAGCGACAACGCGAGCAGCGCGAGGAGCAGCCGCGGCTGGAAGTAGCCATGCGAGTGGTGGAGGCGCGTCTAATATACGCCAGATGCTTACAGGAGCTGAAACGGCTGCATGCAGTGGGGCCGCAGGTGGTGCAGCCGCATGTCCATTGGCCAGTGTTCATGGCGTGGGGCCGAGAGCCCGATGGCACAGCGTGCGAACAGCCGATGGTGGTGCTGGAGAGGTGCGACGGCTCCACCAAGCCCCTTGCATGGGCGATGTTTACACCGGCGGAGGCGCATGGCTTACGACGGATGACGGAAGAAGGAAGGCTTCCGATGGTGGCGTTGGCAGCCACCCCCCTCGACCGGATCGTGTTCCGCACAGGAGGGAGGAACGTGCCCCGCTCAGGAAGGGGGGACGTGTAATGACGCGTTGCATAGCGGGCAGCCGCGCGTCATTACGAGTAGTTATAAGTATAAGTAATTATAAGTACAGTAAGCCACGAAGGCAAGTAATTTTAAGTTCTTTCTAAGTTTAGTTTATTCTTGGCTTTCGGCCCACACGCACTGAAGCGCGGGCAGTTTGAATTTTGTTGGTTTTTGTAGGAATAAAAGAAACTCGTGGAGAAGTTTTGGCGCACCGCCCTCTTTTATTTGTTGGACACCTCGGCACTTTGGCGTGCCTAATTTATTACAGCATACTCTGGCCGGCGAGCATACCCGCGGCAGAGCAACAACGTTACAACATCACGTACCTATGCGTGTTTATATGCGTGTATGTATGCAGCACAAAGTTGAACCAAAGCAGCAACAACAACAACAGCTGCGGGCAGCGCTGCCGACAGAGCTGCAGGCAGCGCATGAGCAGCGATTTTACTTATGGCTATAACTTTCTTCAGAATTAACCTATCATGATGAAATTTGGCACACGGACACAATAGTACTAACTGGATGTACCTACCAAAATTGATTTTAAAATTTCGAGAATTACGGAAGTTATAAGAAAAAATACGAATTGCGGGGGAGTGGGGGGGTGTATCAGAAAAAATAAACAAACTCGTTCTGCCTAGGGCTTATAGGAACCTTGATACCAATTTTGGTTATCCTAGCTCTTGTAGTTACTGAGATCCTTGCGCTCATACAGACAGACGGACAGACGGACATGGCAATATCGACTCGTCTTCTCATCCTGATCAAGAATATATATACTTTGTGGGGTCTGCCACGCCTCCTTCTGTGTGTTACATACATGCACACAAAACTAGTATAGCCTTTCACCCTTTGGTGAAATTATTAATTAAATGAAATTATTAAAAAAAAATTGAGTTAATTAATTAAATTAAAATTTTAAAAATAAAAATTTATTAAGTACATACATAGAAGACTTGTTTATGTTCAGTTTTAACAGCATACATCACGTGCCTATTCGTGTTTATATGCGTGTATGTATGCAGCACAAAGTTGAACCAAAGTAGCAACAACAACAACAGCTGCGGGCAGCGCTGCAAGCAGAGCATGGGCAGTGATTCTATTTATGGCTATAACTTTCTTCAGAATTGTTGTTCCAGCTCTTATACTTTCTGAGATCCTTGCTTTCATGCAGACGGACGGACAGGCGGACAGACGGTCAGACGGACAGACTGTCATCTTTCTTATTATAGCCTGCACCCAAAGGGTTAAAAGCTATACTAGTTTTGTGCGAATGTATGTAACAGGCAGAAGGAGGCGTGGCAGACCCCACAAAGTATATATTCTTGTATTCTTGATCAGGATGACGAGACGAGTCGATCTAGCCCTGTCTGTCTGTCCGTCTGTCCGTATGAACACTTGGACACTGCTCAGAGACTATAAGAGACAGAGACACCAAATTTTGCAAAAATATGTCTTATATGTGTACGCTATACGAGTTCGTTTTATTTTTTGGATTCGCCCCCCTCCCCACTTCCCCCCTATGGGGGTTTTCCCGATTTTCCATTAGTATAATCGCCTATATCTCGGAGACTATAAGATCTAGGAACACAAAATTTTAGTCCAAGATGCCTTATGTGAATACGCAAAAAATGTGCATTTTGGAATTTCCCTCCTTCCCCCTCTCCCATGCAAATCGTAACTCCCGTAATTCTTTGAATTTCGAAATCAAATTTGGGAAATACCCCCAGTGTCATTTCAATTATGATTGTTGGTGTGTACACCTTCAAGAAATACCGCATCCAACCAAAGGAGAAGCCGACAAATATCAAACTGGATGAGCTCTGTCGGCTCCCAGAGGAAACCCCGCACGCTTTCACTGTTGACATAAGTGAAGGTTAAACAAATGTTTAACGGCCGGGAGTATGTTGGTGTTCATATATGCCCCATAACGCTGAAGTTCATCGTACTGTCAATGTCACACGCACTTGACCGTATCATGAGCTACGCATGGGCCACGCATGTGCATATGAGCCCAACGCACGCAGCTATTCTTAGCTATTGTTAGAATAGCGGCCGCGTATGTGCACAAAACAACCAACAACCGGCTGCCACCACTACCTACACCTACGCTGGATATGCACGCACCGACTCAGCTAGCTGCATACAATACCCCAGCAACGATTTATTTTAAGAATCACTTATTAGTAATAATTAGACCTACGCACATTCTCAATTTTTTATATTAACCCCTGCATTTCAATTAATAAACAGACAGAAACACAAGAATACTCGTGCAGCTCTGATCTCACATTCCCTTTCAGCTCCTCCGAATTACACTTGGTTCAAGTACCGGTTGTAAAATACTCAGCTACTAGTTTATTACTAGGGGCTAATTCAACAAACAACAACACTGCTCTTTAAAAATATGTTTAGCAGCTGGCTTGTTGTAATAAGTTTTTATAGCTGCTTTGTCTAGTGTAGCGGTTCTTACTACTGACATGATAATAACGTCTAAGGCTTCGATGACTCAGTCGATGTTATCTTCTCACTTAGCACTAGCTTATATACGTATTGATATTTCTATAGAGTAAGTTAAATAATTAATAGCAAGGCAATAGAAAACCGCAGATATTTAAAATTCATAAAAAAATATATATATTTTTATGGGCTTATATGTATCTTTGATATTTTTTAGCATTGATATACGTGATGGTATTTCAAAAGCACCGAAGCGATGGTCTGATGAATCTGTATTTGGAGACAGAGCCTACTTTATTTTTGATAAGGAACCTGGAAAACTTTCTGTTCAAAATACACAAAGTTCTGATTCAGGATTCTATAGATGCCGAGTTGATTTCGTTAAAGCGCAAACACATAACAGCCGTATTAAGCTAAACGTGATTTGTAAGTATAATTTGAATATGACTGCAAGCAGCATGGTGTTATACTGACATATGTATTTATAAATATGTTTTGTGTTTAACTTTAAAAAAATCATTGTTTTTATAATATAGTAACGTTAAATAATAATTAAAAATGAATGCTCTCGTTAAGCTCTTCCAAGCAGACCTTTCTCTTATCCAGGATGATTCCGAGGTACTTTGCGCTGCGACTGAATTTCAGCAGAACTCCTTTTAAAGTGAGTGCCTCAAGTTCCGGAATCTTGTACTTTCTTGTGGAGTGTACTAGCGCAGCTTTTGTGGGATTTACAGACCACAAGGGGACGCCCATTACAAGAGTGTCGATAGTGGGGACTGTGTGCTAATGAGCAGAACGAGCGAGTCCCTGACTTTGTAAAAGGGATGGCGGAGAGGGGGGCTTGGCCAGCACTTTACATGGACTTGATGCAGCAGATGTGCATTCGATGTTCGTACAGAATTTGGCCCATGAGGCGCATTTGGCTTTTCTAATGGCTGTCTTAAAGGTTTGCACTTATATAGCTCTCAGCTAAGTTCTGTGTCTCCTACCTTCGTTAAATAGTTTTCTGCATTCGACTCGAAGACTCTCTAACTCAGAAGACCACCAGGGTGGTTTGTGCTTAGTTTTGTAGACCGTTCTTAGGCAGGCTTTGTGGAGCGCATTTGAGCACGTTCTAGTGAAGTTGTCTGCTAGCCTATCCAGCTCCTCCTCCGTACTGGGCTCAGAGTTCTCTAGGGAGGGGAGAGTATTGGTAATAAATTTAATATAATACCCCCCAATTGAACTTCCTCGGTCTTATTCTTTTAATAGCGGCTAGCATGAATTGGATGAGTTGTGGTCCAAAAATGAATGCTTATTTGGCACCCTCCAATAAAGAACCCTTTGAGCAAGACAGTCAGATGCCCGAATGACGTCTAGGACCTCACTACGGTGACCTCGCTAATGGCAAAGATGGGGTCGTTCCCTATGTTGCAAATTAACAAATTTCTACTTATTATTTAGTCGTATACCAACTCACCTCGTTCGTTTAAATCACTGCAGCCCCACTAAATATGGTGGGCATTGGCTCTTAGCAGCTATAAGGGGGGTCATCCTGGTCGTTGTGCACCAATAGATTTCTCCGCTGTCTCCTCCGTGAGTGTCGCGTCGGCCTCTTTGCTGATCTTTGGCGAAATTTGGGAGAGGAAGATTTCTGTGACACCCCTGTATATATACTTACTCGACTGGCTGGCGAGTATACCCAAAACACCGTTACAAGTGGAGCCCGAGCAAGTGCACCAGAATTAAGAGAGGTTAAGTTCAAGCGCGCGGTGAGTTGACACAATTGAGGCAACGTTTAATGGTGCGGTCAGGCTGGGTACGATGGCTGAAGAAGGAGGTGATCGACGACTCCGGCACCGTGCAAACGCTGAGATCACGTCTGGTAACTTTTGTGAAGAAAGCGGGACCAGAGTACCAGTCTCGCCTGGAAAAGCTATCCATAACAGTCCAGAAACGGGAAGAGGAAAGTTTGCAAAATCTGATATCCATTGCCCCCTCTTGGTGTTTTTTTGGATCAGATGTGGAATGACCTTTCGCGCTTTTGCCGTAGCGTCGACTTCCGTTCTTGTTTCCTTTTGATGGCTTTAGATGTGGATATTATTTCGCGCAATTGCCAATATGCGTATTTATGTATATACAAAGAGCTAAGCTAGATAGGACTAAACAAGAATTTAAGGCAGCCCTTAACGTACAGAATGAGCAGTTCAGCCGCCTCTTTGAGTAAAACTGCTAAGGTGCCTACTGTAGAGGTACTCTAAGCGTTAAAAATTACGAATTCAATGGGCGTTGAATCACTTGATGCAGTAAACGCACTCTCAGAATTTGACGGTACGCCCGCTAAGTATGTCTCCTGGCGTCAGGCGGCAGAAGCAGTGTATAAAATATACACACCATACGAAGGTAGCTCTAGGCTTTATCAGGCTGTCATAATAATTAGAAGTAAGATCACAGGATCTGCAGACGCTATCCTATCCTCATTCAACACTGTGTTTAACTTCCTGCAATATTAAACAGATTAGATTTTACATATGCGGACAAACGCCCATTGTAATTAATAGAACATGAGCTAACATGCTTGCGTCAAGGCAACATGACAACATACCAATACTATGACGAGGTTGAGAAAAAACAATGTATGAACGAAAAATATCGGGACGAAAATTTATTTCAGGTTTGAAAAGAATCCTTCCAGCCGTTGTGTTTGCAGCCCGCCTATCTGATTTGCCATCTGCACTAGCTTTGGCTCAGGAAGTTCAATCAAACCATGAGTGCTACACCTCTGCAGCTAACTATGCACGACGCCTTGAAGAAAATTCCTTCCCCTTTTTCTTCGGGCCATCTCGTGGCGTAGGTCAGGACAACAAACCGCACCGAGGATGACAACCGTTTCTTATTCTTTTGTTAACATTTTTTGATCATCTACGCCTTTTAATAGCAAAGGCGAAATGCCAAAAGTTTACAGTTACCGTCGTTAGGCAACGACTGAGTAAGCGATAGTAAAGCAGAAACCAAATAACAGAGCTACGCATATTCTGCTTCGCATTGCGTGTATATATATACATATGTATATGATTTGTTCTAATTGACCTCAATAAATTATAATATGTTATTATTTAGATATTCTGTTTATTGCATTCAAACTTCGAAGTATCGATATCGATAGTATCGGTGGATTCAACTTTCGACAGTTTTACTCCAGTAAATTGAGATGGGAATTGTCAGTGCGTTTTGATGGTGGCTTATCGCTGCACGGCATTGACACGACTGCCGTGTTTCATATTCCGAGTTCGTGCGTGATCGTATTGACTCAATAAGGCACGAAAAGACACAAATGTGATTTTAAAATTAGCATATACTCTCATAATTATTCCCCTTTTTTGCATAATCTATCTTACAACGTTGCGTTATCTATTTATATATAAAATTGTTTGTCCTGATTGATTGGTGATCAATGCACACCCCAAACGGAAAAAGCTAGAAAGCTAAAATTTTGACTCAAGTATCGTTTCATAGTATCCAACATAGTGTAGGTGCGCACTAAGAAAGGCTTTTGGAAAATTCTAGCTCCAAAGGTGGGAAAACTAGCTTAAAAAAATATTAGTTATAGTGGTCATGTGTGTGTACGTTTAACGAAATATTTTGGCATATTTACTGGTAACTAATAAGGGGTAAACATATGGGTAGGTCATGCACACACAAAATAAATACAATATGAAACGTTATATTGAACCGGGTTAAAACAGGCAATACCTGCTAGTTGCTTATATTTTATTACTTTCACTTAAAAAGCAAATTGACATTAACAGATTATCCTAAAGGAATAGAGAAAAGACCTCATCGATATAGAAGTTAATTAGTCGGATTTTTAAATGCAGAAATCGAAAATACAATTTCATCTACCAGTTTGCCAAAGATTAATGCTATAAACCTCATAACCTCATTAGATTCTACAGATTTTAATTCAATCTTGAGTTCCGATATTACAAATGTCAGTGCCAGCGAGTTGATGGAAATTGCCACTGTAAAAGTGGTCTTAGGTTAGGTTAGGTTTCGATGGCTGGGTGTTGTGCACACCCACCCACATAGGCCAAAGGAGGCCCGTTGTAATACCATATAATCTCTATGGATTGTTATGGTCCGCCCCAAACCACCTGGGACTTTTGAGGAAATTGTTTAAGCACGCAATCTCTATACTGTGTATTTCTACAAGATTGCTAAGAAATGGACTTATGTAGCTAATCTTCGTCTGCTTAAGGTAGGACAGTGGCAGAGAAAGTGCTAAAGAATACGTCTCTGCAGTTTCTGCAGAAATCATTATGTGGGATGCCAAGTCTGGCGGCGTGACGACCAATCGGACAATGTCCAGTGAGTGCCTCCAGTATCACTGAGACTTTCGTTCTACTATTTTTTAGGAGCTGGGCAGTTCTTTTTGCGCCTAGGGCTGGCCATGCCATCGTTGCTGGGCTAACGTCTTTGCATAATTACGTGTGGGTAGGCGGAAGGAGACCCATGCTTTCCATGTCAGGATGGATGCGTACCTGCGTAATTGCCTCCCTAGCCAGTTCATATGTAATGCAGTTCCCCTCTATATTTAGGTGCCCCGGTACCCATACGATGCTTGTACAGACGTGTTGGGCCATCTCGTTAAGAGATCTGCGGCATTCTGTGATGACGTTAGAATTTTTCTGATTGGACTCTAGTACTTTAAGCACTGCTTGGTTGTCTGTCTGGTCTACTGTCCATTTTGGTTGCTAGTAGGTGCTGGGTGGCGACATGAATAGCATTGACTTCCTCTTGATAAACGCTGGCATGCCATGGAGCGTCTCAGGCCCAGATCGGGGGAGAAGATTCCCCCTCCTACGCATCCAGCGAGTTTCAAGCCGTCAGTTAATATATTAATGGCGCTGCTTCTCAAGTGGGGCAGTTGTTCCCACTCCAGGCGAGTAGGTATACTTACCGTGTAGTTCCTGGCAAAGGTGACCACCGGTGTATGATAGTCCATATGGGTCGGAACCCACGGATGAAGATGGAGTAATTTTGCGTGCCTATGAACAAAGTCTCTCCATGTTAGCCGCCATCTCCTGCCCGATAATGTCGAGGGGGACAATGCTCAGTATCGTGTTTAGTGCATCATTTCGAGTGGTGTGAAGGGCATCACTGATGCAAAGTTCCGCTGATCTCTGCACTCTGCTGACTGACGCACCGTTTAACGATGGCGGAAGTAGTTCCGGGATTTTATACTTTCGTGTGAAGAGTACAATCTCGGTTTTGTAGGAATTTACCCCTAAGTCGCTAGAAGATGCCTATTTTTAGAGTACCGCGACTGCAGTTGAAGAGTACAATCTCGGTTTTGTAGGAATTTACCCCTAAGTCGCTAGAAGATGCCTATTTTTAGAGTACCGCGACTGCAGTTTCCATCAGGTTGCACAGTGTTGGGAGAGATT